AAAAAAAAAAAAAAAAAAAAGTTAATGTCCCACTATATTCTATGCTAATCAAATCAGAATCTGGGGGTGATACCGAAGTATCTGCATTTCTAAAAACTTCAGGTGATTCCAGTCAGCGTTTGACACTTCTAATTAGTGCTTCTTAAACTTTTATGTCCACAGGAATTGCCTGGGGGTTCTTGTTAAAATGCTAGTTCTGATTCAGGAGGTCCCTGGGAATGATGTGAGTTTTTTTTGCAGTTCTCACAAACTCCCAGATGATGCATGTACCACACTTTCAGTAGTCAGGCTGACCTACTGTAGACCACACTTTCAGCAGTGAGGCTATCTACTATGCTGTGTCCTTAATGTTTTTAAGCACTGTCCCTTGTCAAATAAGGACAGAGGTTCCCCAGACTCTTGTAATAAAATGATCAGAACCATATTTCTTTGGTCATTAGGCCCCAGAAAAGCGTACTCTGAAAAGTCTCCCATGTGTTCTCTCCTCTTGGCTTGTACCACTGGCAGGTTAGGTTTGGATTCTGGAGTGAGCAATGAGGTGATCTAATTGACAGGGCAGATGGTGGCAGGCTTGCTTCCTTGCCAGCTCAACTTAGGGGTTGGGAGAGACCCTGGCTTCTTATTCCATGTTTAAAAAATGTCTTGAGGACTCTAGAAGTAGATAGCTGTGTTCTCATCCTCAAAGCTATAATTACACCAACTCCCACCGCCAGTCTGCTCATAAGCATGTGCCTACTTGTCTCTAGGGTCAGAACATGTTCTGGGACATGGCTGTAGTCCTGAAAGCAACGCAGGAGGCACCTGCTGCTTCACCCCTTGGCAGCTACTCATTACCAGGGACTCTGGCCAAGAGCGAGATACTGGACACTCAGGGGAACATGAACTTTCTAGGTAAGGTTCAACTCCCTGGTTCAGAATCTGACCTTTAGGATTTCTCAGAATCTTTTCAGAGACTGGTGGGTATCTGGTCTCTTAGCTTGAGCAACACAGAGTATCATACAGAGGATCAAGATACTGTCAGGGAGAGCTGGATAGGGGATTGCTGAGAGACACCTATGCTGTTGTCATGGGAAATGGCTTATTTGGTACACAGGCTTGAGACACCAGACATAGATGGATTCAAAATTCGCTTCTTAGTCATATTTATTTTTAGTGAGTTTCATGTCTGTACACACAAGTAGATACACGCCCTCTTCATATACTTTGTGGCTGTCCTACTTTAGTAAGTCTTTAAGAAAAGCTATCTAGGCTCGGCGCCTGTGGCTTAAGTAGCTAAGGCACCAGCCATATACACCTGAGCTGGCAGGTTCGAATCCAGCCCAAGTCTACCAAACGACAATGACGGCTGCAACCAAAAACAGCCGGGTGTTGTGGTGGGCACCTGTAGTCCCAGCTACTTGGGAGGTGGAGGCAGGAGAATCACTTGAGCCCATGAATTGGAGGTTGCTGTGAGCTGTGATGCCAAAGCACTCTACCCAGGGTGACAGCTTGAGGTTTTGTCTCAAAGAAGAAAAAAAAAAGAAAGAAAGAAAAGCTATCTAGCCTCGGCACCCATAGCTCAGTGGTTAGGGTGCTGGCCACATGCTCCAGGGCTGGCAGGTCCCAACAATGACAACAACAACAAAAAAATAGCTGGGCGTTATGGTGGGCGCCTGTAGTCTCAGCTACTTGGGAGGCTGAGGCAAGAGAATCGCTTAAGCCTAAGAGTTAGAGGTTGCTGTGACCTGTGATGTCATATCACTCTACTGAGAGGGATATAGTGAAACTGTGTCTAAAAAAAAAAAAGAAGAAGCTATCTAAGGTAGGAAGGGTCAACTTTTGTGCTGATTTTGATCAAATGCCCTAGAGATGTTGTTTTCATAGATCTTGCTGCAAATTCTAGAGCAGTGGTTCTCAGCCTTCCTAATGCCACAACCCATTAATACATTTCCTGTGAGTTGTGGCCCACAGGTTGAGAATTGCTGTTTTAGAGGATTTTGAACAGCTGTGTCAACTATGATACTGTTTAAAATTAGGTCTTAGTGAAACTATGGCTTATCACCTGGTTCTCTTTAAGCTGGAGCTCAGGAAAGGATAATATGTCTTGATTAGTGGTGGCAGAAGTTTGTTGTGGAGAAGAAACACACAACTGAGAGTCAACAATGTGGTAGCCTGGCTCGGCACTCTTTGCTCCGTGGTTAGAGTGCCAGCCACATACACCCATACACTGAGGCTGGCCGGTTTGAACCCAGCCTGGGCCTGCTAAACAACAATGACATCTGCAACAAAAAAATAACCAGGTGTTGTGGTGGGCGCTTGTAGTCCCAGCTACACAGGAGACTGAGGCAAGAGAATCGCTTTAGCCCAAGAATTTGAGGTTGCTGTGAGCTGTGATACCACGGCACTCTACTGAGGGTGACTTAGTGAGAAAAGAATGTGGTAGCCATGGTCTCCATGCTGTAGATGCAATTCTCTGGATGGCTACCAGGGCTCCTACTAATAAGTCTGCCTGACACTGGTCTGTGTCAATATTTTGAAACCACTGTTCTACCTAGCCAATTCCTTAGGCATTTGAGAATCAAGTCACTTTCTTAAACCAGTGCTATCGAGAAGGTCAGAATATTCAGCTTTCATTTTCTTGTCTTGTCTTTAATTTTCCCCCAAACTCCCAAAAGGTCTGTGCCCCACTTTCTGCTTTCTGATTCATTCCCTCTGATATATTCCCCTTGAGTTACTTCTTTTCTGTCTCCACACTTTATCAGCCATTCACAGTCTTTAACTCAGCAGCTGTACCTGTCCTTTAGGAAGGATCTGCATTTTCCTACTTTGCCTCTTTATCTCAAGACCCTGTTCCCCCCACCCCAAGATTTATTGTGCTGCAGCCATTTCCATAACAGCAGGTGATGTCAGGAACACTGAGCTCTGGGAGTGAGAGGAGTGGTTGCTTGCACTGCCTTGGATAACTGTGATCTTGATAAGTCCTTTCTTTCTGTGCAAAGGAGGATATCCAGGATACTGGATTCTCCCTGTGTGTTGCAGCATGACCTGTGGCTCCTAGCTCCTCTATTCATGTCTAAAGTTACATCACTGTGAAAATATCTCCTTCTGTAGTTTTGCTACCCACCTTGCCACTGGCCCTCATTTTACTTTCTTATCTGAGTTGTTTTCCCTGAGCTCAGTAATTCACTGGTACTTATTAAGGGCTAACTCTGCCAACGCTGGGGTGCACAGGTACATGTTCCAAGGTCAAAGGTAGTAGGGGTGAGGAGAAGACAAAAATAAAGAGCTGGGATGTTATTGACAGCAGGTCCCCTTTTTGATGCCATCAGGGCTCTGAGGCAGTGTATAACATCCAGAGACTAATCAAAGTCTTAAAACGTCAGGATATTTTGGAATTCTTATGTTTTTTGGTACTGGGGAACAGGCTATGCCCTAATTCAGTAAAGTAAGCTGTCCTTGACATGATGCTAAGTGTTCCCTTTCACTTTAGGGACAGAATTTACTATGTTCAATTTTTTCCTTAATCTTACCTAGTGTAGGCTCCGTGCCTGTGGCCTAAGTGGCTAAGGCGCCAGCCACATACACCTAAGGTGGCGGGTTCAAATCCAGCCCGGGCCCGCCAAACAACAATGATGGCTACAACCAAAAAATAGCCAGGTGTTGTGGCAGGCGCCTGTAGTTCCAGCTACTTGGGAGGCTGAGGCAGGAGACTCACTTGAGCCCAGGAGTTGGAGGTTGCTGTGAGCGGTGATGCCACGGCATTCTACCCAGTGCGACAGCTTGAGGCTCTGTCTCTAAAAAAAAAAAATCTTACCTAGTGTAGCTGTCTGTTACCACAGTAATTTCTTTACCCTAAAGGTTCATCTTTTCTCCTGGCCCCCCATAGCACTATTTGTCAGGATGAAAGTCACAGCACACACTCAGAGCTCTTACAGTGTTCCATGCACTGTTCTGAACAGTTAACAGAGAATAACTCTGTTAATCTGCTCACAGCCTTTATAAGGAAAATATTACCATTATTCCTGTCTTAACAATTAGGGAACTGAGGCACTGAGGAGTTAAAAGTAACCAGCCCAGAGTCATCCAGCCAATTAGTGGCAGAGCTGGGATTTGAAAGCAGTCAGCCTGCCTCCAGAATCCATCTTCTTCCTCTCTGTAGCTGTGCAGCCTCTCAGCGTTTTGTGAGCTTTTGGTTACTGTACCTGTCTTGGCATCCAGTGGGACCTTTTCACTCCAGTTTTATCTTTCCTTTGGTATCTAGAATCTTTAGACACAGAAACTTAAGTTAGTAGATATTTGTTTACAGGTAAGGAATCTCTCTGACTAACCAGTGGAGAGCAAATCCAAGTCCACTCTAAGTAACCAGGGTAAGAAAGCATTCCTGTGGAGAGGCTGGTTTTAACTGTGAGATCAGTCATCAGATAACCAGGTGAGTGCCATCTGGAGATCAGGCCTTCCTGGCATGAGGGTGGGTTAAGTGACTCATAGAGGTAAACAAAAGTGCTGGAAAGACCACAAATCAGCTCATCTGCTCCAAGTTGGTGGGGTGGGATGGGGGCAACCCCCCAAGAGGAACCTACAAAGGAGAAGTAACACAATGGGATTCTTTTGTATGATAAAGCAGTTTTGCAAGAGGTACTTCCTGACCTTTTCAAACCTGATCCTATTCTTTTTCTAGACTGGAGAAGTCTAACATTTGCATTTTCTGGGGGGTTTTGTTGTTGTTATTCAGGTGTTGAAACGAAGAACTTACAGTTACTGGTTCCAAAAACTGAGATAAGTGATGAAGCCGAAAAACCCTTCATAATATCAGGAAGAATCCAGAAAACTGACCTTCAAGGACCTAAGTTAGGAGAAGCCTGTGAAAAAGGAAATATGTTAAAGAGGCAGAAAATAAAGAGGGAAAAGAAAGATTTCAGACAAGTAACAGTGAATGACTATCACTTACCTGAAAACTTCAAAGAAGAGGAAGATCAGAAATGTAAGAAATCTGGGGAAAAATGTAGCCTTAATTCTGGCACTGTTAAAAATCAGAAAATACAGCCTGGGCAAAAGCCCTTTATGTGTAGTGTGTGTGGGAAGGGCTTTAGTCAGAGTGCAAATCTTGTTGTGCATCAGCGAATCCACACTGGGGAGAAACCCTTTGAATGTCATGAGTGTGGGAAGGCCTTCATTCAGAGTGCAAACCTTGTTGTACATCAGAGAATCCACACTGGACAGAAACCTTATGTTTGTTCAAAATGTGGGAAAGCCTTCACTCAGAGTTCAAATCTGACGGTACATCAAAAAATCCACTCCTTAGAAAAAACCTTTAAGTGCAGTGAATGTGAGAAAGCCTTTAGTTATAGCTCACAACTTGCTCGGCACCAGAAAGTCCACATTACAGAAAAATGCTATGAATGTAACGAATGTGGGAAAACATTTACCCGGAGCTCAAACCTCATTGTCCACCAGAGGATCCACACTGGGGAGAAGCCTTTTGCCTGCAATGATTGTGGCAAGGCCTTTACCCAGAGTGCAAATCTTATTGTACATCAGCGAAGCCATACTGGTGAGAAGCCATATGAGTGTAAAGAGTGTGGGAAAGCCTTTAGTTGTTTTTCACACCTTATTGTGCACCAGCGAATTCATACTGCAGAGAAACCTTATGACTGCAGTGAATGTGGGAAAGCCTTCAGTCAGCTCTCTTGCCTTATCGTCCACCAGAGAATTCACAGTGGAGATCTTCCATATGTGTGTAATGAGTGTGGGAAGGCCTTCACATGTAGCTCATACCTACTTATTCATCAGAGAATACATAATGGGGAAAAACCTTACACATGTAATGAGTGTGGCAAGGCTTTCAGGCAGAGGTCCAGCCTCACAGTGCACCAGAGAACCCACACGGGGGAGAAGCCCTATGAGTGTGAGAAGTGTGGTGCAGCTTTCATTTCTAATTCACACCTCATGCGACACCACAGAACCCATCTTGTTGAATAATAAGTAAAGGAAAAGGAAGACCTCCAGCATTGGTCATGATTTACTGCTCCCCAAATTAGATGCCTCTTTGCTGTTTTCTTCCTCCTTTGTGAAAACAAGGCCTGTGTCATTAAAAGTTAAAGAGTTTTGGGCAATGCAGCACAAAACATAAGCATTTCAAAGGCTAATTTAAAGAAAATGAAAACTGAGCACCTAAAGGCAAGGACTTTAACTGCGTTCTGAGCTGTTTTGTTTTCTGAAATGGAAAGTGGCTTTCTTAGGAATGGGTCATATGAAGCTAAGTGATAAAGATCCTATTTGAGGAAAGGTCTATTTTGCTTACTTTTGTTTTTTAAAACTCTGGTAATGCTTGAGCAACAGGTAGAGGTTATCTACCTGTTAGAGTTGTGGAGCTTTGAACACTGTATTCTAGTCTTTTCAGTGACCAGTTAAGATGAAACCATTTGGGGTAGCAATACTACAACAGCTCACCTATGAACATTAATAAGTTTCCTCTTCCCTAGGTAATTTTTAAAAAGCTAATCGAAACAGAAAAAGAAAAACCTATTAACTGTCTACTGGTCCTAAAATGGACAGAAATAGGAAATGGTTATATTTTCCTTATTGTCTATACCTCCCAAACATTAATATTATAAAGCTTTAGGGACCTCTGATAAGTCCGTTCTGACCATTTCTCAGCCTGCATGGCCAAGCACTCAAGGATGGATGGAGTCACCACACACAAGCTATGTTCATTTCCTAAGATCAACAACTCAACCCCCCAATTCCCATCACATTCCATTTGGGTGTGATGCAACCAACAGCCCCCTTCCTGGATAGAGGAGTCAAAGAATAAAGCTTGCCTAGAGGCATGCCCAGGTTGTCTCTGCTCTCATTCTGCTCAAGCTCAGCCAGGGGTCTCAGTTTGGGTTTCATGTTTACATTCTGGATGGTATTTAGAAGAAATATGAGAACTGATCTAATTCTGAGAGGACCAAAGAGGGAAACAGGGAAAGGGAAGAGGTGGAATGGGATTCCTTAGGTCTGAATTTGGTTTTTATGAGATGTATTTGAAATTTGAAAACTTGTAGAAGAATGAAGAAACTGGCTAAGGTAAGATATCTTTGTTACCATTGAGCTTTTACTTGGGCAAAAATGACTTATTACAAGACTATGCAATAGGAAGAGTTAACTAATAATATTGCCTTGTTATTTATATAGAGCTTTTTATTCTTTATTGTGTACTTTCTTGTGTCAAATCATGATACCTGGCTCTCATGATACCTCATGCTTTCACATAAGTCATTACCTTAATCCTTGTAACACTGAAAGCGGTGTTTGCCTGTTTACCCAAGAGTTGTCATTTAGTGTAAGGCCAGGTAACAAGGGACAGAGCTTATATCCAAATCCAGGGCTTAAATCTAGGTTCTTTTTATGCTGCCCATAAAATTACCCATAATCCCTACCCACACTGTGGGGGAGGCTGAAAAAGGACTGTGTAGCCCCATTTTCAGGTGAGGAAGCTGAGGGGACAGGTTTTGTGATATGTCTTAGGCACAGGGACTAGAAAGCAACAAACCTAAGACTGGAATTGGGACCTCCTGATTTCTGGGTCTAACTCTCCACTCCGTTCACTGCCTCTGAGCATGCAAGAACATTTATTATAAAAGTTGACCCTGGTGATAAAGAGACTGGTCCACCTCTCACGCAGAAGTCCAGTGGGTTTGTTGTCTCATTTCTATAAAACTAAATAGTAGTCACAGTGCTCTCTAATTTACAGAGCAGGGGCAGCATCTGTGGCTTAGTGAGTAGGGCACCAGTCCCATATACCAAGGATGGCGGGTTTGAACCTGGCCCCAGCCAAACTGCAACAAAAAAATAGCCAGGCGTTGTGACGGGCACCAGTATTCCTAGCTACTCGGGAGGCTGAGGCAAGAGAATTGCCAAGAGCTGGAGGTTGCTGTGAGCTGTGACACCACCGCATTCTACCAAGGGCAACAAAGTGAGACCCTTGTCTCTAAAAAAAAAAATAAATAAAAATAAAAAATAATTTGCAGGCTTGGCACCTGTAGCTCAAGTGGCTAAGGCACCAGCCACATACACCTGAGCTGGTGGGTTCAAACCTGGCCCAGGCCTGCCAAACAACAATAACAACTACAAACAAAAAATAGCTGGGTGTTGTGGCAGGCACCCGAAGTCCCAGCTACTTGGGAGGCTGAGGCAAGAGAATTGCTTAAGCCCAGGAGTTGGAGGTTGCTGTGAGCTATGATGCCTGAGCACTCTACCCAAGGTCACAGCTTAAGGCTCTGTCTCAAAAAAAAAAATAATAATAATAATTTACAGAGCATTTCCTACACTGAAGGCATACACAAGAAAGCTTATTTATTTCCTCTTAACTTCCCTTCAAAGAGGGGGAAGTATATGCAACTTCCTTTCCTAGTTTCACTCTAAATCATAGACTTACAAATATAAGAAATCAAAAGGGGATTCCAAAGTCTAATCAAATACTCATGCCCTCACTGACTCTAACTCTGACTATTCCTGCCCCCTTGTCTGGGAGTGGAGAGAACCAAGAACAACACTTCGTACCTCTGCTGAGTTTAAGAACGAGTTAATCTCTGCATGATCAGGAGGTTCAGAACAGCAGGCTAAAGATTTAAGATAACTGTGACCTTGACCCAACAAGAGACTAAAAGTGTGCTCTCCTGAAAGATAATAGTACCTGGGATTTATGACCTTTAAGGACAGTTAAACTATTTTATCCTGTGTATTTATCCTCATACTTGAATGAGTCATAGGTGATTGGGATTTCCTGGTTAAAGATTTACCTTCATAGGTAGTTCAAAGAAGCTACCCAGGTGATTGTAATGCAAAGCTAGGTTTGGGGATCACTGACTTAACTTTGTAGTAAATCAGTGGCTTTAAACCTTGGTTTCATGTTAGAATAAACTAGGACATTTTTAAAAATTTCCATTCCTAGGCCTCAGTATTTTTGAAACTGGATGGGATTATAAAGTATAGGCAAGGTCACTGCAGTTTGGTAAAGTCTGCAGCCCAAAATGTGAGTGATGAAAGCTGGAGGGGTGCTGAGCATAAGGGTTTGTATGTGCATGTTTGATCAAATTGGGGCACTTAATTTACATAGGCTGGATTAGTGCCCCAGACTGCCCTGACTTATCTTGTTTGTATTGAAGTAAGTATACCAAACATTTTATTTATATGAGTAAACTAAGTTTTACATAACATGCTTTTGTGTATGCATTGAGACTTTTTACATTTCTACTTGTATTTCCATCTCCATATCTGGGTTTCCACAAATGAGCACCCAGGTTCAGAATCTCTGATCTGCACAAATCACTTACTAGACAGATCAGTTCCTTCCCTAGCTAATAACAGTTCTCTCTCCAGTTCAATTCTAGCCCTTAAAATAAATCACAGCCCACTGTTTCCTTTATAATTTCTTTCTTTTTTTTGCAATTTTTGGCCAGGGCTGGGTTTGAACCCACCAACCCTCCGGCATATGGGGCCGGCGCCCTACTCCTTTGGGCCACAGGTACTGCCCATCCTTTATAATTTCTAATAAGGGAGGATTGGCCAGCCCTTGTAAAGTTGGCTGTTCTCTTTGGATCATCTCCCATCTCCCTTAGCTGCTTTTGCAAGGAGTGGCTGGAAACTGCAAAATCCCACTGTCATTAGTTGCCAAGACCTGTCAGACTTAGCTGCCAGACAAAGAGCTCTGTGAGAGGCCTAGTGATTCATATTAAGAGTAGGGCCAGGAATTCTGTCCTCACCCTCAAATGAAGTAAACATAAGTATTTAAGGGGAGCATGGTGATGCAGAACTGATAATAAAATCATGTACAATTGCTTTGGGAGCCCAGGACTTCATTAGCCACCCTGTTCCCCCCAGCACTCAGTACCCACTCATGTTCTCATTCTTAAACACAGGCAGCCATGAATTCCAGTTCAAGAAAAGGGAATTCTTCCTCTGTGCTCTGGATCTCCTCCCCCACCTCCTTCAGGCAGTTGTCCCTCTCTCACATCTGCCACTTGTCCATTTGTTCCTCCATCCAGGGTGCTAAACCTTTCTGGTGTTGCAGCCCCTTTGGGAATCTGATGGAGTTGTGGATCCTCTCCTTGAAATAAATATACATTAATTCTGGGCTCATTTGGTGGGAGGGTCATACAGGCTCCCTGAAGCCAGTTCATAGATCCTCTAGGGCCTAAAGTTATGCCTGAGAATTCACTACATAATCACCAATGACAGTTTGAAAAACTGAAGTCAGATTATGGAACCTCAAAGAATGTTTGCCCAGACTCATAACCTTTTAAATTTTGCTTCTGGATTCTCTCCCTCACAGCATCATTCCCACCACCTGGGGCACCCTTGGATACCCAGGAGGCATTTGTGGCTTCCTAAGAGTCAGTCATTACAAAAATTTCAAGCATTTCTCTTTGTGGCAAACATTGTACTAGATTCTGGGATGCCAGAGCAAACAAGATCTACTAACCCTTTTTTCGTGTCTGTTATGGAAAAAAAAACCCTTTACATATGATTTTCAAAAATCTTTTGAAAAGCTTTTCAAAAATCTCTTCCCAGCCTCATCTCTTCACTTTCCCTGGCCCTGTCACTGCTGCCTAGAGGCATATGCTTGCTCTTTGTGCCTTTTCTCACACCTTCCTCAGTGCCTGTGGTACCTCACTTCCACTCCCTAACCAAGCCCCTTCTACTTCCCTAATCCTTGGTGTTTTTGACTATTTGGTTCAAGTCCCATCTGTGGGAAACTTTTGATTGCCCTATGTCCAAGGGCCTGTTGGAAAGTACGTTTAGATGTATACAAGTGTGTGATACGCTTTATATCCAGAGTTTTACTTCATTATTAAAGTGAAAAAATAGCTGAATTAAAAATTGTGCATATAATAACAGCTCTCACATACTGTTGCAGTTATATATACTATATACTATTAAAAAGTATATAGATAAGTTACCTGAGGGAGATAAAAAAAATATTATTAGTGGTTAAATGATTTATTCACAGCCATACAGATGGTAAATTCCAGAGCTTAGGCTCCGCACCCATAGCACAGTGATTATGGTGCTGGCCACATGCACTGAGGCTGACATGTTTGAACTTGGCCTGGGCCAGCTAAACAATGACAACTGCAACAAAAAAATATAGGGTGGCACCTGTAGC